TAAAAAAAAATTTTTTTAATGTAATTTAATTTTTTTTAATATATACATTTACATACATTATAAAAACATTAATTCAAAATATTAATGAAAATTAAAGTAGTATCTCAAAGGCACTAAAATAACACTTTTCACTATTTTCTCTATCCACAGTTTTGGATGATCCATTTTAATGTTTACCAGCTCCATTTATGCTCCGATTAACTGATCATCAGATCTTAATTTTAGCTCTAACATTTCTCATCAAATGATCTATCTGCTTCTCACTGGTTTTAAGGGTTTATATTATACAACTTATTAGTGTCTGTTTTTATTTGTCCTCAGGAGAAACATCAGAAACAGTGTTGGTACATGAAGCGATTGAGAATGGCATTGTGTCTCCAGCGCTGCGCAAGAGCAACATCTGAGCAATAACACTTCCCTCTGGGCTGTGCTCTACAGGCTCCAGAAAACAGTAAGTACATTTGCATATTTTCATTTGTCTCCCTTGGAACAAATGACGGAGGTTTTGCAAACCTGCTGTGAAGCTGATGAGATGCAGGAGAGAGTTTGTGGGATCATTAGAGGAGTAGTTCAGACAAAAATGAATGTTCTGTCATCACAGTCACTTCCGTCGGAGGGAAAAGAGCACCTGGGATGTTCTGTTAAGTATCTCCGGTTTGGAACGACATGAGGGTGAGCAAATGATGATGGGGTTTTTATTTTTGGGTGAACTATCTCCTTAAGAGAAGATTTGAGATACTAAACGCTGCAGGCCAGCTAGCAAAAATATATCTCAAGAACGTTGTTACGTTGAGTTATGTTTTAAAAACGTTTTTTCTTGGTTATTCAAACATTAATGGAACACTCCATTTTATAATTTTGGAAGGTCATGGGAACGTTACTTTTTAAAAGGTTCTCTGAACACTCAAAAGAACACTCACTAACGATTATTTTGGTATTCAAGTAATTGGTAAAGTAAAAGAGCGCTTCTTAAACCTCCGATGAACCTCCGGTATTTCGCCGGTTAATCGACACGGGCAAAATGCAATCGAGGATTTTTTTTTATAATCGAGGACTCAAATTTAATCAAGGAATTGTGACAGCCCTACTTCAGTCAAAAACATTAATTTCCACCTTTGCAATCTCTTCTCTGATGACGTGTGCACCGGCATGAGATCACAGCAATTAGTAAACGACAACGATCCAATCGATTCAGTCAATTCCCAGTGGACAAAATCAAGTCCCACCCTGCATTTTTCTCATTCGAGAAGCCATTTCACTCAGATATACGTCACAATAGGGAGGAAGAGATGGTCGCAGCTTCTGTTTCATGCCATTTTTAACTAATTTGTCTCCAAATTATAGTTCAATAAATTCATATGCATTAAATACTTCAGACGAGGATTTTCAGAAATGATTACATGACTTTCAAACTGTTTGCATAAACTGCTTACAAGTCAGTCATCTGATTTATTTTCTTTAGGATCGGTCATAACTTAGTAGATCGGTCTAATTTGAATCCTAAAAGTAAGACTAGTTGGTTGGTCTTATTAAGACACAGTCTTAACACAGTGGCTGTGTTTATGCAACTGAACCCAGATGTTCAGACGCTCAGTGACTTTCTTCCTCTTCACTGTTGTGCATTTAGATTCCGTGACAAACAACTAGTGCTGCAAATAAAGCAGGAGCAATGATTCTTTCTCACACACTCGGTACCCAAGGCCCTCGTTGTTATTGACCCGCTACACTAAGTGTGTGTGTGTGTGTGTGTGTGTGTGAATAACAGATAAGAAAGAGAGTGTGTGTATGATGGCAGTTCCTGTGAGTGTGTTTGTGTGTGTGTGTCTAGCAGGAGATGCTGTCAGTCAGTCTCTACAGTCCTGTTAGCACTTCTAAATAATTTTAACTGCAACTCCATAAACATTATTCACCTAAACACCCTTGTGCTGCCATTAAACCACCACCACAACACTGTCTGCAGTCAAACATCCTCTCACACTGACATTAAACTCTGAATGGCTGACATTACACACACACACACACACACACACAGGTCAGCGTGAGTGAGCATGTGCTTCTCTGTGTCCATCAGCAGCTGTCCAAAAGACTTTGACGCTCTGATTTACACAATGCACTGTAGTGAATAGAGACACATGTTCAGCAGCTGATGTGTTTTATTGAGTGTTGATGTGTACACAGCAGAGATCATCACGTCTTTTCTTTACCAGCTTAACACCAGCATCAGCCAAACACAGAAGACCCTTAAAATAGATGCATCAAATGAAAAGGTGTATAATGACGGACAGGTGAAATGCAGTGCTGGGCCTTCATTAGGACTTTGACCAGCACGATATCCCTTTTACGTGTTTAATATATATTTTTAATGGTAAAATATTTTATTATAATGTTTACAATATAAATGAATAGTAGTATAATGCTACAAGGTATAAAATATAATAAAATACGTTTAATATAAATTTGTTATAATAAATATAGCTATTGTTTTTAATAGTAAAATATTTTATTATAATGTTTATCATAATGTAAATGTTATATTGCTGAAATATTTTATATGTGATTATATTTTATATGTTTTTATGTATTTATGTAATTTAAATATTTCTAATAATTTTTATTATTGACATTTAATATTCTGTTAGGTTTGTTATGTCTTTTGTCTTTCTGTTGCTAATGCACAAATGTTTATTGTCCATTTTTATTATTTATTTAGTTATGTAAAGAATTGCATTGTGTCTAAATGTGGTTTGAGTGATCAGATTTTCCTGTTTTGGACCCTGTTTATTTGTATTTATTGCTGACCGCATCGGACGACCTGAGATGGGCCGTAAACTCATGTTGCTCCAGGTGGACTGAGCCTGGAAGTGTCCCTGAGCTGCCTTACTTAGATCTGTGTCAGGTGACACCAGGGGGCAGGACAGTTTCATTCTAGAGAGCATGTGATTGGACAAGAAAATCTGCCAGTCATCAATATTTTGGACAGTTTTTAAGGCACAAACTAGCATGTAGATGAGCTCAGACACACATACATGGACTAAAAGCCATACTGCAATTCTCTATTGTTACATTTAAAGAACTAAATGTGAGAGAATTGGTCATTTTTATTTGCCATGAATCAATGATAGTGATTTGCATTTCTTATATATAGTAGAAGTATACTACACACTGTAGAATTTCACTCTGAAATATTGTATATAAAAATACTACTATATGTTAAATGAAGAAAAAAAAAGATATGGCGTAATTTTATCACTTGGCAGTCTTTACTGTAGCATGTAAATGTTTTTTTTCTTTTAGTGTACCTAAAAGCCCCCGTCTGCATGTAACGCGCGCTCTAACGGGCAGAACGCGCCAGACCAAAGGGGCGAGAAACGTTCAACAGCTTGAAGAACATCTCATGAAACCTGTTCAATGTCAATAACGCTTCATTTCAACTGCGCACTTGTTCCAGATCAGCACATTTCACCTGTACAGCGTCTGGTTCCTCTGCGTCTTTGCGCATTTGGATATTTTATTTCTCGTTTCCTCTTTTCGCGCATGTTTTACTGAGAGACTCTTGAGCGGCGCAACAATCCATCAGTGCCAAATCCACTGATAATCAATGTGCTGCGCGTGTACTGAACGATTATCAATCATGTTATGAGCAAGTGGAATCGATACCCACTTATGAGTGGATGTCTATTTTCTTTCGCCTATGAAATATTTGCTCAAACTTAAAGGTTAAAAAAATAGCAGCTCTGACGACCTGCCGCGTGACGCGCGTTGATTATCGATGAGAGCGGCGACCTGATCGATTCCACGCGCGCTTCCTGATCCATGCACAGAGCAGCAGAGGAGATCAATCAGAGACTTAAGCTGAAAACTTCCAGCACAAGTTATTGATTAAACTCTATTAATTCATAACAGTTAATCCTTGCCCAAACATTAAAGGAAAGTATTAGAGGCTTTAGAGCTCTGCAAAATCAGACTGAACCTGAACAGCCAAACAGAGAATAAAACAAAACTTATTAAACGCGCATTAAGGAAATCCTCCATCCAGCACACAGCGCGTAAAGTGAATTCGCCTTGCGGGTTTCCACATTTCTGTCGAGTTGGAGACATTTACACGAGTGTTGTTTCTGTTAAAGGTCTGTAGTAGGAAATTAACGAGGATATAGCCGTGAACAGGAGAGCAAATCACGCGCCACTCAAGGCCAGTCTACACATCAGCTGGAAAATCAGTTCACACACATTGGATTGGGACGGTGCCCAATATATCAGTGTCGTGGCACATAAAGACACTTTATTTGACAATAGTCGACCTGTGCAGACTTTGTGCATTATTTTGGGCAGATGCATGACAAGCAACTGACCAACTAGGTTACATAATTATTCCGTCCAGTGTTTAAATGAAATGTCGCGCTCAAGTGCGCAAAAACCTTTTACGCACAGCTCAAACGGCAAGGAATGCAGCCAAATCAGTTTCTTTTAACCCTCAAATGTTTGATCTGACACCCAAATGTTATTGAAAAGATTGAAGCCAATTTTTTTCGACTTGGTTTGTGCGTAAATTCCATTTACGGCTTTAGTCTGCGCGCAAACGGAGCCTGAGTGAGCCGTTTTCCAGCTCAGGTCTGGTCTAAGGTTGCGCGCTCGGATCTGCCGAAAATAGTCTAAATGGTCTCTGATGAGTGAAGTCTTAAAGTTGCTTACGCGCTTGGCTTGAGTGAGTTATGTTCGGTGTTGCTTTTGGAGTCTCCATGGAGCGTCAAGTTCAACAGCTCAATCCAAGAAACAACTACAGTGATCCGCGGCTCCTGGTGCTTTCCATCGATTTCAGGCGCAGCGGGACATTTTAAAGATCATTTTTCTGAGTGAACCTTGTGTTGGTTTCACGTGCGCTCCTTGACGCGCGTTTATTTGTTTGCAGCTATTGGCTTATGAAAGCATTGGCTCGTGCGTGATGTAACAAATCGGCTGAAATATCTTCTAGATAGCACGCAGAAACGGACAGTTTGTCCTACCTGCTCTCAGTCGCTCCTGGCGCCCGCGGGGTCGCTGCTGTCCGGGTCCGTTTGGTCACGCAGCTGGACGTCTGAGGACATGATGCTGGACGGTCGGAGCTCTTCTCGTGGGTGAACGCAAAATGAGAAGTGGAAATGAGGAGTAGGAGAGCAGGAGGGAGGGGAGGAGACGCAGGAGGTCCCTTTACAGCCTCATTCTCACATCAACACACTTCAGTTTACAGGCGTCAAGGGTTCATCGATATCTCTCAGTTGACGGTGTTTACGCGCAAATGTGATGTGATGCATCAGTCTCGGGCTTCTGTAGTCGGGAAATGGGCACATTGGTTCATCTCGTGGGCTTTAACTGGATTAGATGCATGTGACGTTCAGATGTATGAACGCGTTTGGCGCGTCGTGTGATTGAGCGCGGCTTCAGATTCTATCTTGGGACGCCGTGTTGACGCTCTCCGGCGCGTGAGGATTAAACGAGATTTGAGCTTTTTGCTCAAACGTGCCGTGACCGCGCAATGCGTCCTCACAGATCCGTGCCACACTAAACCACAAAAACCTTTGAGCGGAAAATGTACCGCTACGCTCCACGTGTAACGCTCTTTGCAGTACTGTGGTACATGATCAAAAAACATGGTCCAAAAACTGTCATTTGCTATAGTACTCCTCCAAACTGATGGTTTTACTATGATACGAGTCCAAAAAAACAACAAGTAGTATTGTAGTATAATGGCGCTTTGATATACATTTCCATTAAGTTACAAAAACATTTTTTCTGAATGTTCTCTGAACGTCCAGACGTCCAGTGTTTTATTGGTTATACCAACCTTAAGGGAACATTCTATTTGATCATTTTGCAAACATTATGGAAACATTACTTTTGAATGTTCTCCGAACGTTCTGAAACAAGTAGCAACGTTTAATAAACATGATTAAAGACCAGATAACTTTGAATGAACGTTCTATTAACATCACTCGTTCATAACCTTGCCAGAACGTTCTGAGAGCATTGCCTATTAGCTAAGATATTTATTAAAGGGACAGTTCACCCAAAAATAAAAATTATGTCATTTACTCACCCTCAAAATTGTCCCGAACCTATACGAGTTTTATTCTTCTGATGAACATACAAGAAGATATTTTGAAGAATGTTGGTAACCAGACAGTTTTTGGTCCTCGTTGACTTCCCTAGTATGGAGCAAAACTACTATGGAGATCAATGGGGACCAGAAACTGTATCAGACTGGACCAGAACGAAATCTTTAAGAATATTCATATACCATGGTGATATTTCCAATATAGTTTAGAGGTAATTAAAAATGCTGCTGATTAACCTGGTATATGTACAAAGACACCATGATCTATTAGTGTCATTCACTGAAGTGCAGCATTGAGTAATGCACTAACTCAGACCGATCAAAGCAGCTGATGTTTTGATTGTGTTTATGCAGGTGTCCCATAAATAAAGTACCATGGTATTACCATAAGAATGTAACATTTGAATATAATGGGATGTTTTTGGAAACCACGCTCTTCTTTGAAGTGCCTTGTTATAGTACTATTTAAATACTGTGGTGTATTTTGAAGCACCATAGAATTACCGTAGCACAACCACAGTACTTTTTTGTAAGGGGTGTGTTTGAGGGTTTTCATGCGTGAATGTGTTTGAGGATGTGAAGAGTAGACTGACATCTACTGGGGGATTACTCGCTGTCTTTCTGTGTCTGAGGCTTTATTAATATCTGTGTTTGTGCTTTGGTTGTTAATTGCCTTATATCTGGAGTTGTGCACGTCAGTAGCATCCCTCACTGCGTGTTAAACATGTTCATACATGACATGCACAACATGCAACTGCCAAAGCGATGCAATCACATGGTGTTTCTCAGCATTATCAGTCTCTTTTTAACAATGTTGTGTTGAGTTTGTTTAATGAGAGGGGAGAGTAAGTGCTCGAGAGTTTGATTAGTAGAAGACAGTGCTGTTTGTTTAATCTGTGTGTTTAATGAATGCATTAGTTCACATGCCAGTTTAGCCCTCGCTGTCAAGCTAATGCCGTCCACTCGGCATATACGTACATCTATACCGCCACAATTCGATCAGGGAAGGGGGGTTTTAATTGGCAGCTGCTATTAGAAGAGCCTCCGCTCCTGCAGCCTCCGCTCTCATTTAGCAAAGGAGCAGCACACAATCAGCACGGCTCCTCTCGCAGCGATAGCTTTGTCTGCAGCCCGAGAAAAGAGGCATATGTGAAAGAATGGGAGACAGGCAGAGAGAAAGACAGCCCGGAGTGATTGTGTGATTGTCTCAGTTTAAATGAACTGTCCATCAGCCGCCTGTCACTCTCACTGGGGGCTAAGGGACCAGCCGGGGATCAGGACAAATAAAAATCAATGAGAGGAATTTGGGACCTGTTACTACTGCGTTTTTCTGCCAGTGTGTGACATGTAAGACAGTGTTGCATAACCGTACAATACAGTTATTAGCATTTTTTATGCTATGTCATGCATCACTATTGCAAGTGTTAAAAGATTTACCGTTTCTACCCGATCAATCACGTAGAAATCACAGCCTAGCAACCTTAGAAGACCCTGGCACCCTCATATTGTACTTTCTATTGCTTATATATGCTTGTATAGCATTTTCCTAATGTTCCCATTAAGTTGTGAAAACAAACATTTCTGAATGTTCTGAATATTACGTTGTGTCATTTTTCAAACATTATGGGAAAGTTACTTTTGATTGTTCTCTGAACGAAAGTAGTAACATTTAAAAAGCGTTAGACAAACATCCAAATAAAACGTTTGAGGAGAAAGAAATATGAATGATGTTTTTGTGTTGATTCATGTATGTGTTCATGTAACGTGTTTTTCCTGAAACATTTTAGTTGGACGTTCATCTAACATTGTTTAATCTTACTGCTCATAGTGATCTGACAATGTACAGCCTAAGTGATCAGACTTAAAGGGACAGTTCACCCAAAATGAAAATTCTGTCATCATTTACTCACCCTCACGTTGTTCCAAACCAGTAAAAATTTCTTTCAGCTGTTGAACTAAAAAAAATCTGATTTTTTGAAAAATACTGGTAACCAGACTGTTGACGGTAGCCATTGACTTCCATAGTGTGGAAACAAATACTATAGAAGTCAATGGGTACCGGCAACGTTCTTCAGAATGTCTTCTTTTGTGTTCAGCAGAAGAAAGAAACTCAAAGTTTGCAACAAGTGAGTAAATGATCAAATAATTATCCATGAACTCTCCTTTTAAGATTTTTACCTGATCAGTAAGCAACCACCCAAACCACCCTAGAAATGACATAGCAACACCCTAGCAACCTCCTAAAACTCTCCTAGCAACACCCTTTTATTGTAGTTTGTATTGTATAAAATCACAGCTAAAATATATTCTAAGAATGTTTTGCGAACGATCCCATTAAGTTATGAAAATGTTATTTCTCAATGTTCTCTAAACATACAAAATGTCCAGTTTTTTAAATGTTTAAAAAATGTTTTTTCTTGGTTATGTGAACATTCCAATTTAACATTATGGGAACGTTACTTTTGAATATTCTCTAAATGTTCTGAAACAAGTAGTAACATTTAAAAAATGTTAGACGAACATTCAACTAAAATGTTTCAATGTTCCATAAATGATGGATAAATAATGTTTTTGTGTTAATGTGTTCAGAACATATTAAAGACCAGATAACTCTGGAATTGATGTTTAACATCACATGCTATTGATGTTTGTTCATACCGTTGAGAGAACCTTGTCAGAATGTTCTGAGAACTGGGATATATATTGAGAATATTCACCACTCTCTGGTCTGTTTCAGGGCTGTTAATGTCTTCCTTACTCACTAGTGTCTTTCTCTCTGTGTGAACAGATCCCCAGGGAGGCGACATGCAAACCTGCAGACAATCCACGGTCCATCAAGGGGTCTCTGGGGTCTCTGTGAGTCTCTGATGTGTTCAAGTGCAGGTTAATTCTTGGCTTTTAGTGTCAGTAAACAGTGTGCTGGATTAGAGGACAGCCATCGATCTGACCACCGTAAGAGAGAGAGAGAGCATCAATGCACACACATTCACCGAGAGACAGACACTCCCGCTGAATTGCTTTGAAATCCCCATTCAGACATTATAACATTAGCAGACCGCTAAATGTCACCAAATGAATGAGTATTTGTCAGAAAGAATAGAGCTGCGTTCTATCTTATAGCGTTGTTCAGACTGAATTATTTTAAAGGGGAAGCGTGTCATTTATTCACTACTAATGATATTAAATTTACACATTTCAGATGACAAAATAATAAAAAATTCAGTGATTATACACACACACACACATATATATATATATATATATATATATAGATAGATATTGCATTATGTATTATATAAGATTTTTGTAAGATGTAGATAAGTTTCTTTAATGGTGTTAATTAAAAAAAAAAAAAGCACAGTAAAAACAGTAATATTGAGAAATATTATTACAACAATTTAAATGAACTGTTTTCTATTTTAATATATTATAAAATGTAATTTATTCCTGTGATGCAAAGCTGAATTTCTTTATTATAATCAGTTATTATCAATGTTGAAAACAGCTGATTCATATGCAAAATATGTTCTAAGAACATTTTGCTAATGTTCCAGTTATGGAAATGTTTTAAAATATTTAAAATTAGGGATACACCGATACCACTTTTACGAGTCCAATACGATACTTCTATTTTTTGCACTCACCTGTATTTTCATAGCATTTGTAATTTTTTGGCTAAAGATACATATATATATATATATATATATGAATCTTGTTAGCTGCTTCATTGAGCAAACAGATTTCCTTCTGTTAATTATGCCTGTTAAAATGTGTTGTACAAGCTTTTGTTATTTTCACTGTTGGTTTTATTGCTGTATAGTAGCAGTATTTCATCTTTAATTGAATGGTGCATTAGAGCTGCTCCATTACAGCGGCTCAGTACTGTCATCACAAGATGTTTTCCTGCAATAATGCAGGGAACCACTCATTATACATAAATCTTGTAACAGCAATGAACATATTTTCTTGAAATATAAGTCGCGTTTTTTTTTCATCTGTAATGTACTGCGACTGATATTCCAAAGCGATATGATGCAAAACACTCATAAAGCAAGCAGACCATGTGCAACGCGCGCACACATTTGTGTTGGTGTGAAATGAGGGAGACACATTAAGCCTAGCACATTTCACATAGGATGCTAGTTTCACTTTTGCTTTAAAGGTGACATATCATGAAAATC